GGACATTAAACCTTTTCTCGGAAACACACACACACACACACACACACACACTGCCCTGACCGTCGGCTGACAGGCTTACATGGGGAGGAGTCACTTGGGGATGGTCATGTGGTCAGTGCCTTCTTGTGTCCATCCCCCACAGTCGCCTATGATGATCTTACTGTACTTCTAATATTTTCTATGTATTGGGATAATTTGCTCTTGTGCCCTTAATAATGTCTCTCAAAAAAACCTGCCATATTTCTGAACTCTTTTTTCTCTTAAACTTGTTTCCTATGAGATCTTACTGACAAGTTCTCTGAGACTGGTAAAATTTGCCTTTTTGAAGTCCATTTCCTTCACTCTGCTGCTTTCCTTCCCCTCATTCCTTAGAATCATAAATGGTATCAGTTTACGATCACTTTCACCTAAGCTGACTACTGCCTTTGAATTCTCTACTAGTTTCTCTTTGTCGGGATCAAATGTAATATAGCCTCTCCCCTACTTGCTTTCTCTGCCTTCTGTAATAAAAAGTTGTCACCAATGCATTCTAACACTCTATTCATGTCACAAAGTGTTTACATAAGGTTTACAATGTGGGTGGGAAAAAACAAAATGTAAGGGAACAAGTCTGGGTTCCTGCCTAGGGAATTAGTCATGCTTTGTTCACAACTGAAGAGTTCCTGACTGTACACAGCACTCAGTCAAATCACAGGTCTCATTTTCTTTACAATTAGAATGGTCCTACTATGTGAAAGATGTCTGGGGTCAAATTACATTATAACATTTTTTCTTACCTGTGTTAACAAGCAATTTGTTGTCTGACTTTCTAACCAAGATAAGCTCATTTGAAAATGTAATGATATGTGACTGAGGAAACCTAGCGTAAAATCATAAAGCCAGATCCTCCACAGGTGTAAATCAGTTTAGTGCCAAATTATACTAGTGGAGGATCTGACTCTTAGGACTTTTAGGAATGAGAGAAAGCATCCGATCCGGTCATCTGCTTTTGACAAGTGAACTTAGGGTGTGTCTAAACTATAGGGTTTTCTCGACAAAAGCGGCCTTTTCTTGACAAAACTATCCCTGTGTCTACACTACCGCCACATTCTGTCGACAGTAAGTCGACAGAACGTGGCAGTTTTGTCGACAGTGGTAAACCTCCTTTTACGAGGAAGAATGCCTTTGTCGACAGAGATCTGTCGACAGAAGGTGTGTGTGGATGCTGAGAGCCAGTTCTGTCAAAAAAAAGGCCTCCAGGAAGAAGCCCTGGTGGACAGTCTAACCTTTACAGGTACAGCACCTCTGTGGTTCCTGGCGGCAGCCTCTTAAAGGCACAGGCACCCAGAAAGGCCTTGCTGTCCGGCAGCTAGCCAGAGCACCTGTGCCAGCCATGACAGCCATGTTCCAGCCTCAAGGCCCCCCTGGCCCTTCTCGGGACAGAGAAGAGGACCCACCCAGGGGCACCAAAAGGCAGGCACCAGCCTGGTCAGGGCCAGAAATAAAAAACCTGCTAGAGCTCTGGTCCCAGGAGGAAGCCCTGCAGGCCCTGAAGACACGCCGCAGGCATGCGGACATCTATGAGAGCCTGGCCAAGGTACTGACCACCAGAGGGCATCACCCCTGCACCATGCCAGGGATATGCCAGTGCCCGGGACGAGAGCTCCTGTTCCGGGGCAGCCCCTGAGACTTGCCCTTACTACGAGGAGTTGGAGCAGATCCTGAGTGGTGGAGAAGCCCAGACTCCACTGCAGGTGGTGGAGTACGGGTTACCCCACCACATCGTGGACCGACCTCTCCTGAGGGAGGAAGACCAGGCAGAAGAGGCGGGAGATCTGCACCAGGAGGAGGAGGAAGAGGAAGCAGCAGGGACCCAGACCCCAGAGGCCTCCCAGGCATCCATGGACATCGGAGAGGGAACATCAGGTGAGTGCTTTGAGGGGTCACCACATATGGGCAGGTTGGCAGTGTGGGGGGCCAGCTAGCCCCATTGCCATTGTGGAGCCCCTGTGAAGCTTTCAGGACACTGCCCAACTCACACGTGGTGTCATGTGTAACACTCCTGAGTCTCCTGTCCAAAGGACAGCCCCTGACAGCCACGGCATGCCCTCGGGGACAGCAGGGGTGCACACAGACAGTGATTGTCTGCTCCTCTTTTCCTCCACAGCCAGACCCTCTAACTAACAGGGGAGCACCACACACACACCCACCACCATCCCGGACCCATGGCACCTGCAGGCACTGGCATGTGTACATGGATCTGCTGAGGGAGCATGTTGTGGCCCTGCAGGACCTCAACAGGATCCTCCAGCAGAGGACGGAGGCAGAGTCCGAGTGGCGCACCAGGCTGCTGGACAAGCTGGTCAAGCAATGCTCTGACATCTGTGCCACAATGAGGGAGCTCTTCGCCTTGCCTGCCCCTGTCCTGGGCACCACTCGTCCTGCACGCCAGGCCCCTGCTCCCCCTGCCTCTCTTCCCCTCTCTCTCCCCC